TAGATTTCAGGGGCGCGCCACAAACAAGTTTGTGATGCTTAAAGTGGTCGTAATCCCGAGAAAAATATCACGCTGTATATTATTTCAACAATTGGGCGATGTAATGCTTTGAGCGCTACCTGCGTTCCAAATTTTAGGCAAATATCTGAAAAACTGCCAAAGTTATAGTGGGAATGCCAAAGTTAGAGATTAAAAAAAACTGCACGGGATTACCCTGTATCTCGGAAGCGAAGCTTTTGCGAACAAATGTTTATATAGACTTTTTTACTTGTATTTGCGAGTATATTCGTCTTCTTCACTTTTCCGGTTAAAACGTGTAGATATTTTTTAATTTCTCTTTCTGATCGCGAGAAAAGTCACCCTGTATAATATTTCAACAGTTGGACACATTGACCGACGTAGTGCTTTGAGTGCAACCTCCATTCTACATTTGAGGCGAAAATCTCAGAAACTGCCAAAGTTAAAATGGAAAACCGAACGGGATCACCCTGTATCTCCGAAGTGAAGCGATTGCGAACAAATGTTTATATAGACTTTTTACTTGTTTTTGCGAGCATATTCGTCTTCTTAATTTTTCCGGTTAAAACTTGTAGATATTTTTTAATTTATCTTTCTGATCGCGAGAAAAGTCACCCTGTATAATATTTCAATAGTTAGACACATAGACCGACATAGTGTTCTGAGTGCAACCTCCCTTCCACATTTGAGGCGAAAATCTCAAAAACTGCCAAGGTTAGAATGGAAAACCGAACGGGATTATCCTGTATCTCGGAAACGAAGCGATTGCGAACAAATGTTTATATTGACTTTTTTACTTGTTTTTGTGAGTATAATCGTCTTCTTCTCTTTTCCGGTCAAAACTTGTAGATACTTTTTCATTGCTCTTTCTGATCGCGAGAAAAGTCAACCTGTATAATATTTCAATAGTTAGACACATTGACCTCCGTAGCGCAACCTTCATTCCACATTTGAGGCAAAAATCTCAAAAACTACCAAAGTTAGAATGGAAAACCGACGGGATCACCCTGTATCTCGGAACCGAAGCTTTTGCGAACAAATGTTTATATAGACTTTTTTACTTGTATTTGCGAGTATATTCGTCTTCTTCACTTTTCCGGTTAAAACTTGTAGATATTTTTTAATTTCTCTTTCTGATCGCGAGAAAAGTCACCCTGTATAATATTTCAATAGTTAGACATATTGACCTCCGTAGTGCAACCTTCATTCCACATTTGAGGCAAAAATATCAAAAACTACCAAAGTTAGAATGGAAAACCGAACGGGATCACCCTGTATCTCCGAAATGAAGCGTTTGCAAACAAATGTTTATATAGACTTTTTACTTGTTCTTGTGAGTATATTAGTCTTCTTCACTTTTCCGGTTAAAATTTTTACACATTTTTTAATTTATCTTTCTGATGACGAGAAAAGTCATCCTGTATAT